CCTCCGTGTTTATTAGACATGCTTCCTCTTGGAATGATCCCGAATGTTTACCCCTTTCCTTCCAGGGAAAGGCAAGGCGAAGCCCTCATCACAGTTCGATCCTGCCAGACAGGCCCACGCTGGCAAGGTAAGCCTCCGCCGTCCAGAAGAGCGATCGCCACAGCCTATTTTGGGGAATTTAGCATAACTATCTCGATTATAACATGCGGAATTCATCCCTTTTCTCGGCAGAAGGGAGCCAGCAAAGCCCAGCATCCGCCCGGAATGAGGAGCATGTCCTTCACGGCAGGGAAGTCCAACAGGTCGGTCGAGTGGTCGGAATAGGAGACGTTTGGAAGAGTTCCTAGTCCGTGTGATAGATGCAGGATATAAATACGTAGCTACATGTGTCAACCTTAGTGGCCTCCCATCCGGGTCCAAACTGGGGCTGGCCCTGCTTAGCAGCCAGGAAAATATTTTTATTGTATTTTAATAATAACAGTGCTATAGAATGCTATAGTAATATAAGTAATAATACAGCAAAATAATTATAGAAAAATACCATAATAATATAGTATTATAATAATATGATTAATAATAATATATCAAAATGAATATAGGATATAATATAGCAAAAATACCACAATAATATAATAATATTGTCGAAGGCTTTCATGGCCGGAATCACTGGGTTGTTGTAGGTTTTTCCGGACTATATGGCCATGTTCTTGAGGCATTTTCTCCTGACGTTTCGCCTGCATCTATGGCAAGCATCCTCAGAGGTAGTGAGGTCTGTTGGAAGTAGGAAAAATGGGTTTATATATCTGTGGAATGACCAGGGTGAGACAAAGGACTCTTGTCTGCTGGGGCTAGATGTGAATGTTTCAGCTGATCACCTTGATTAGCATTCAATGGCTTGGAAGTGCCCGGGGGGAATCCCTTGTTGAGAGTGATTTCATGTGCCTGTTTGTTTACTCGCTGTTGTTTTGCTGTTGTGATTTTTGAGTTTTAATACTGCTGCAGAGGTGAGAGGATCCCTCTTGTCCTTTGCTGGACCACTCTCACAACCACCATGTCAGACTACACAGAGAAGCCATTGAAATCCACAAGCATGTGGAAATTTCAACAGAAAGGAAGAAACCATGAAAATGAACAAAATCTGGCTACCAGTATTAAAAAATTCAAAAATTACAACAGCAAAACAACAGCGAGTAAACAATCAGGCACATAAAATCACTCTCAACAAGGGATTCCCCCCAGGCACTTCCAAGCCATTGAATGCAAATCAAGGTGATCATGTTGCAACCCATAGAACACAGATTGTCTTAAACAGCAATTGAGATGCAAATAATAGTCTTTTTAATGGAAAACAGATCAGCTGAAACATTCACAGCTAGCCCCAGCAGACAAGAGTCCTTTGTCTCACCCTGGTCATTCCACAGATATATAAACCCACTTTTCCTACTTCCAACAGACCTCACTACCTCTGAGGATGCTTGCCATAGATGCAGGCGAAACGTCAGGAGAAAAATTGCCTCCAGAACATGGCCATATAGCCCGGAAAAACCTACAACAACCCAATATAATAATAATATAGCAGAATAAATATAGGAAATAATGTGAAATCCTTTATTGTATCCATGACACATACAATAAAATTATATTTCTATATTTCTCTTTCTCTAGATATAATATATATATATATATATATATATATATATATATATATATATATATATATAAAATATATATTATAATATAATATATATTATATATATATATAATATAGATATAATAATATATTGTGTGTGTGTGTGTATTGTATACACACCAGGTTTTTTTTTTTATTTTACTGACACAGATAAAATAATAATAATAATGCCTGGTATATTTATATAAATACACACACACACACACTGTATATACTCAAGTATAAGCTGACCTGAATATAAGCCGAGGCACTTAATTTTACCACAAAAAACTGGGAAAACAGATTGACTCGAGTATAAGCCGAGGGTGGGAAATGCAACAGATGCTGGTAAATTTCAAAGTAAAAAATAGATACCAATAAAATTACATTAATTGAGGCATCAAGAAGTGAAATGTATTTTAATAATAATAATCCTTTATTGTATCCATGACACATACAATAAAATTATATTTCTATATTTCTCTCTCTCTAGATATAGTATGTATATATATATATATATTATATACACACCAGGTTTTCTTATTATTTTTATTTTACTGACACTAATAAAAAATAATAATAATACTTAGTATGTATGTATGTCTGTGTATGTATATATATATATATATCTACACACACACACACATATACTGATATTGTGCTATGCTAATAATATAACATATTGTATGTATGTATATCTCGTAAGCCACTCTGAGTCCCCTTCGGGGTGAGGACTTTAAATGCTCATATTGTGTCTATTATTATTATTATTATTATTGAGTAGTATGGCATTGTTAGCCATTTTCTAGGGAGAAAGTAGGGAGAGAAAGGAAGCATCAATAAATTGGTTTAAATCTGGTAGAAATGCCAATATCTTGGGTTTGGAAGCTGGAATCAACTCAAACCAATAATAATAATAATAATAATAATAATAATAATAATAATCCTTTAATTCTTTTCTGCAGGGGTTTCCGGCACAACTGGCCCAGAAGATAATGCTGCTTAGAGGGATCGCCTTGGAAGAATCAAGAAGCTCCTTGCTTTTAATCGAAGGGGATGCCATATTTGTGTACAGACACCAGTTTGATTTTGTTGATGTTGTTTTTTTTTTAAAAAAAATACAAATTAAATTGCTTTTATTCCCCTTTTTAATTGCCTCGAGTGTTATTGACTTCTCTTCTTTTCTACTAGTCCTTCCTTTTTAAAGTTATGATTTTCACTGTATCTGAAAGGGAAATAGAGCGCCCGGTGGTGCAGTGGGTTAAACTGCTGAGCTGCTGAACTTGCTGACCAAAAGATCTCAGGTTCGAATCCAGGGAGCGGGATGAGTTCCCGCTGTTAGCCCCAGCTTCTGTCAACCTAGCAGGAAGGTCATGCCGGCCACATGACCTTGAAGGTGTCTATGGACAATGCCGGCTCTTCGGCTTAGAAATGGAGATGAGCACTAACCCCCAGAGTTGGACACGACTGGACTTAATGTCAGGGGAAAACCTTTACCTTTTCCTACTCCATTATGATTATTATTGTTGTTATTACATTTATTATTTAACTCTGTTTATTATTACTTTTACTATAATGCTATAGAAATATAAGTAATAGTACAGCAAAATAAATATAGGAAATAATATAGAAAAATACCATATTAATATAGTAGTATAATAATACAATTAGTAATAATATATCAAAATGAATATAGGAAATAATATAGCAAAAATACCATAATAATATAATACTATAGAAGTAATATAATACCATAGATATGTGACTAATAATAATATAGCAGAATAAATATAGAAAATAATGTGAAATGAATTAAATAGGATTAATAATAATATAGAATAAATATAGAAAATAATATGAAACGAATTAAATATGATTAATAATAATATAGCAGAATAAATATAGAAAATAATATGAAATGAATTAAATATTATGACTAATAATATAGCAAAATAAGTATAGGAAATAATACAGAAAAAATACCATAATAATATAATACTATAGAAATATGATTAATAATAATATGGAAAAATAAATATATAAAATAATATTTTGAAATACCATAATATAATACTATAGAAGTATGATTAATAATAATGTAGGAAATAATATTTTAAAATATAATATTATAATACTATATAAATAGGATTAAAATATAGCAAAATAAATATAGAAAATAATATAGACAAAATACCATAATATAATACTATATAAATAGGATTACTAATAATATAGCAAAATAAATATAGAAAATAATATAGAAAAAATACCATCATAATATAATACTATAGAAGTATGATTAATAATAATAATGTAGGAAATAATATTTTAAAATACCATAATATAATACTATAGAAACATGATTAATAATAATATGGAAAAATAAATATATAAAATAATATTTTGAAATACCATAATAATATAATACTATAGGAGTATGCTTAATAATAATGTAGGAAATATTTTAAAATAGCATAATATAATACTATATAAATATGATTAAAATATAGCAAAATAAATATAGAAAATAATATAGAAAATATACCATATAATACTATATAAATATGATTGCTAATAATATAGCAAAATAAGTATAGAAAATAATATAGAAAAAAATACCATAATATAATACTATATAAATATGATTACTAATAATATAGCAAAATAAATATAGAAAATAATATAGAAAAATCCCATAATATAATACTATATAAATATGATTATTAATAATATAGCAAAACAAGTATAGAAAATAATATAGAAAGATATAACAATACTATAGAGACATAATATAGAAAGTAATATAGAAAAATACCAAAATTTAACAATACTATAGAAATATAATTAATGACAACATAGAAAATAGTATTAAAAAATACCATAATATAATGATATAATAAATATAATTATATCATTATCCTCTTCACTATTACTAAAAGTAACTTTTCCAAGTCCTGAACCGATGCGGGAGTTTTTCTGCTCACATTATAGCCAAAAAGTAGAGTAAACCCATTAGGGTTCAATGCGTATACTCCGGTGTAAACCATAAAGGTCCCGATCCACGCTTTTTCCCCCCTCTGCAGAGAGCCACGTGGAACGCTCCGCTGGCGTTCCTTCCGGTTTCAAAACCCTCGGCCAATCAGGGCCGCGTTCCCTTAGCAGGCCACGCCCACCGCCAAACGTGTCCGGCAAAGGAATAGAAAGGAGGCGCAACCTAGCCTGCTTGCTGGCTAATCCCAACCCGGGCTATTTGCATTCCTGGATCCGGCTGGACCAATGGGAAGCGAGGGTCTCACCCGGCTGCGTTTTGGGATTGGGTTATAAGAGGGCCCCGCCTACTGGTGAAGCCGCCGAGGAGTGGGTTGGGTTGAGAGGCACCCATTGGGAGACATGGCAAAGGGCATGGAGCCGGGCCTGGAAGGAGGAGAAGCCCTGAAAGAAGGCTGGTTCCGGGAGACGTGCAGCCTGTGGCCCGGGCAGGCCCTCTCCTTGCAAGTGGAGAAGGTCCTGCATCACCAGAGGTCGCCCTTCCAGGAGATCCTGGTCTTCAGGAGGTGAGCAGGAGGCCTCCCAACAGCATTGCATGGGAGTCAACGCAGGCTGAGCCAGAACTGGGGGGCTGCAGCAAGAAAGGCCAATGCAGTGATGCCCCAGATAGGATTGGGTGGGAATCAACACAGGCTGCACCCATAGGATGATGCATTAAATAGATTGGGTGGGAGTCAACTCAGGCTGAGCCAAGGCTGGGGTGCTGCAGCAGAAGAGGCCAATGCTAGGATGCACTAAATAGGATTGGATGGGAGTCAACACAGGCTGAGCCAAAACTGGGGTGCTGCAGCAGGAAAGGCCAATGCCATGATGCACCAGATAGGATTGGGTGGGAGTCAACACGAGCAGAGCCAGAACTGGGGTGCTGCAGCAGGAAAGGCCAATGTCATGATGCATTAAATAGGATTGGGTGGGAGTCAACACAAGCAGAGCCAGAACTGGGGTGCTGCAGCAGGAAAGGCCAATGTCATGATGCATTAAATAGGATTGGGTGGGAGTCAACACAAGCAGAGCCAGAACTGGGGTGCTGCAGCAGGAAAGGCCAATGCCATGATGCATCAGATAGGATTGGGTGGGAGTCAACACAGGCTGCACCCATAGGATTGGGTGGGAGCAAGAACAAGCAGAGCCAAGGCTGGGGTGCTGCAGCAGGAAAGGCCAATGTCATGATGCACCAGATAGGATTGCATGGGAGTCAACACAGGCTGAGCCAAGGCTGGGGTGCTGCAGCAGAAAAGGCCAATGTCATGATGCACCAGATAGGATTGCATGGGAGTCAACACAGGCTGAGCCAAGGCTGGGGTGCTGCAGCAGAAAAGGCCAATGTCATGATGCACCAGATAGACTTGGGTGGGAGTCAACACAGGCTGAGCCAAGGCTGGGGTGCTGCAGCAGAAAAGGCCAATGCTATGATGCACCAGATAGGATTGCATGGAAGTAAACACAGGCTGCACCCATAAGATTGCATGGTAAACACAAGCAGAGCCAAAACTGGGGTGCTGCAGCAGGAAAGGCCAATGCCATGGTGCCCCAGATAGGACTGCATGGGAGTCAACACAAGCAGAGCCAGAACTGGGGTGCTGCAGCACAAAAGGCCAATGCTATGATGCACCAGATAGGATTGGGTGGGAGTCAACATGAGCAGAGCCAGAACTGGGGTGCTGCAGCAGGAAAAGCCAATGCTAGGATGCACTAAATAGGATTGGATGGGAGTAAACACAGGCTGCACCCATAGGATTGCATAGTAAACACAAGCAGAGCCAAGGCTAGGGTGCTGCAGCAGGAAAGGCCAATGCTTTGATGCATTAAATAGGATTGGGTGGGAGTAAACACAGGCTGCACTCATAGGATTGCATGGGAGGCAACACAAGCAGAGCCAAAACTGGGATGCTGCAGCAGGAAAGGCCAATGCCATGCTAGGCTGCACCCAATAGGATGAAACACAGATTGGGTGGGAGTAAACACAAGCAGAGCCAGAACTGGGATGCTGCAGCAGGAAAGGCCAATGCTATGATGCACCAGATAGGATTGGGTGGGAGTAAACACAGGCTGCACCCATAGGATTGAATGGTAAACACAGGCTGCACACATAGGATTGCATGGGAGTCAACACAGGTTGAGCCAAGGCTGGGGTGCTGCAGCAGGAAAGGCCAATGCCATGCTAGGCTGCACCCAATAGGATGAAACACAGATTGGGTGGGAGTAAACACAAACTGAGCCTGAGCCAAGGCAGGGATGCTGCAGCAAGCAAGGCCAATGCCATCCTAGGCTGCACCCAATAAGATGAGATACAGACTGGATGGGAGTCCACACAAGTTGACCCTTTGTGTCTCCAGGTTGCTATGATTTGCATTATAGTCTATGAAGCCTTTCCCATGACGATGTCTTTGTTGACATGTCATCTTTTGTCCCGGCAGCAAAACCTATGGGAATGTCTTGGTCCTCGACGGTGTCATTCAGTGCACGGAGCGAGACGAGTTTTCCTATCAGGAGATGATCGCCAACCTGCCGCTGTGCAGCCACCCCAACCCACGCAAAGTGAGCATCACCCCAATAATAATCTATTTATCTTATCTATCTATTCCAGGTATGGGCAAATTTTGGCACCAACAGATAACTAGGTATATCAGTCTAACAATCAAGAAACCCAATTGCCATGCATGAATGCGAGTATACACAGACCTGATTGCTGAAATTTCATTACTGGAGGGGTTTGGGGGGAACTGGCCTTCCTTTCTGGGATCTGTAGTTCACCCACAAGCAGAGAAACTGTGATCTCCACCAATGATGGACTTAACCTGGCATGATGGGAGTTGTAGTTCACCCACAACCAGAGAAACTGTGACCTCCACCAATGATGGACTTAACCAGGCATGATGAGAGTTGTAGTTCACCCATAACCAGAGAAACTGTGACCTCCACCAATGATGGACTTAACCTGGCATGATGGGAGTTGTAGTACACGCAGAACCAGAGAAACTGTGACCTCCACCAATGATGGACTTAACCTGGCATGATGGGAGTTGTAGTTCACTCACAACCAGAGAAACTGTGACCTCTGCCAATGATGGACTTAACCTGGCATGATGGGAGTTGTAGTTCACCCACAACCAGAGAAACTGTGACCTCCACCAATGATGGACTTAACCAGGCATGATGAGAGTTGTAGTTCACCCATAACCAGAGAAACTGTGACCTCCACCAATGATGGACTTAACCTGGCATGATGGGAGTTGTAGTACACGCAGAACCAGAGAAACTGTGACCTCCACCAATGATGGACTTAACCTGGCATGATGGGAGTTGTAGTTCACTCACAACCAGAGAAACTGTGACCTCTGCCAATGATGGACTTAACCTGGCATGATGGGAGTTGTAGTTCACCCACAACCAGAGAAACTGTGACCTCCACCAATGATGGACTTAACCAGGCATGATGAGAGTTGTAGTTCACCCATAACCAGAGAAACTGTGACCTCCACCAATGATGGACTTAACCTGGCATGATGGGAGTTGTAGTACACGCAGAACCAGAGAAACTGTGACCTCCACCAATGATGGACTTAACCTGGCATGATGGGAGTTGTAGTTCACTCACAACCAGAGAAACTGTGACCTCTGCCAATGATGGACTTAACCTGGCATGATGGGAGTTGTAGTTCACCCACAACCAGAGAAACTGTGACCTCCACCAATGATGGACTTAACCAGGCATGATGAGAGTTGTAGTTCACCCATAACCAGAGAAACTGTGACCTCCACCAATGATGGACTTAACCTGGCATGATGGGAGTTGTAGTACACGCAGAACCAGAGAAACTGTGACCTCCACCAATGATGGACTTAACCTGGCATGATGGGAGTTGTAGTACACGCAGAACCAGAGAAACTGTGACCTCCACCAATGATGGACTTAACCTGGCATGATGGGAGTTGTAGTTCACTCACAACCAGAGAAACTGTGACCTCCACCAATGATGGACTTAACCTGGCATGATGGGAGTTGTAGTTCACCCACAACCAGAGAAACTGTGACCTCCACCAATGATGGACTTAACCTGGCATGATGGGAGTTGTAGTTCACCCATAACCAGAGAAACTGTGACCTCTGCCAATGATGGACTTAACCTGGCATGATGGGAGTTGTAGTTCACCCACAACCAGAGATACTGTGATCTCCACCAATGAGTTGTAGTTCACCCACAACCATAAGTTGCACATCTACACTGACATCGCTTTAGCACAAGTATATTAATGTAACGATGTATTTTTCCATTTTTTGCCCAGGTCCTCATCATTGGCGGCGGAGACGGCGGCGTCTTAAGGGAAGTCGTCAAACACCCCTCAGTCGAGTCCGTAATACAATGCGAGATCGACGAGGTAAAGCTATACGATGTCATGGGCTTGTATCGCATCGCTGATCCATTGATGAGTGATGAGGTCAGAAGCTGTTGGGAGGGGGAAATAGGATGGAGGGTGGAAGCGAATGCCGATTGGTGGAGCATCGGGGGAAATTTGCATAGTCAAGGGAATGCTATATGATGTCATGGGTGTATATCTCAAAACAATGACTCAATCCATTGATGAGTGGTGATGTCAGAAGGTGTTGAGAGGGGTGGAAAGAATGGAACATGGAAACTGAATACCGATTGGTGGAGCATTGGGGTAAATTTGCATAGTCGACAAGGGAATGCTATACGATGTCATGGGTGCGTATCTCAAAACGATGGCTTGATCCATTGATGAGTGGTGATGTCAAAGGCTGTTGGGAGGGGGGAATAGAATGGAGCGTGGAAGTGAATGCTGATTGGTGGAGCATTGGGGAGAATTTGCATAGTCAACAAGGGAAAGCTATACGATGTCATGGGTGCGTATCTCAAAACAATGGCTTGATCCATTGATTAGATAGAACTATTCAATGTAATGGGTGTGTATCTTGAAACGATGGCTCGATCAATTGATGAGTGATGATGTCAGAAGGTGTTGGGAGGAGGGAATAGAATGGAGCATGGAAGCGAATGCCGATTGGTTGAGCATTGGGGAGAATTTGCATAGTTGACAAGGGAATGCTATACGATGTCATGGGTGTGTATGTCAAAACATTGACTCAATCCATTGATGAGTGGTGATGTCAGAAGGTGTTGGGAGGGGGGGAAAGAATGGAGCATGGAAAGCTGAATGCCGATTGGTGGAGCATTGGGGTAAATTTGCATAGTCGACAAGGGAATGCTATACGATGTCATGGGTGCGTATCTCAAAACGATGGCTTGATCCATTGATGAGTGGTGATGTCAAAGGCTGTTGGGAGGGGGGAATAGAATGGAGCGTGGAAGTGAATGCTGATTGGTGGAGCATTGGGGAGAATTTGCATAGTCAACAAGGGAAAGCTATACGATGTCATGGGTGCATATCTCAAAACAATGGCTCGATCCATTGATGAGTGGTGATGTCAAAGGCTGTTGGGAGGGGGGAATAGAATGGAGCGTGGAAAGTGAATGCCGATTGGTGGAGCATTGGGGGAAATTTGCATAGTTGACAAGGGAATGCTATACGATGTCATGGGTGTGTATCTCAAAACAATGGCTCGATCCATTGATGAGTGATGAGGTCCCTAGGATTGTATGTAGGCCTCATGCCTTCCTTCCGTCCTTCCTTTCCTTGTTTCAGGATGTAATCCAGGCCTCGAAGAAGTTCCTCCCAGGGATGGCGGTGGGCTACGCCAGCCCCAAGCTCACGCTGCACGTCGGGGACGGGTTCGAGTTCATGAAGCAGAACCAAGAGGCCTTCGACGTGATCATCACGGACTCTTCGGACCCCATGGGTGAGTCTGGGTCCCCTCCACGTCCTTTCCAGACTCGTGGTTCTGGGATCCCTACTGCATGTTGCTTCCTTTCCAGGTCCCGCTGAAAGCCTGTTCAAGGAATCCTATTACCAGCTGATGAAGACCGCTCTGCGGGAAGATGGCATCCTCTGCTGCCAAGGTGAGCAGGGTTCAGCCACAGTCTTTTTGTTTACGGGGTAGTTTTAGTCCAAATGACCTCTCAAGGTCCCACTTTCCAGCCCTAACATCTAAACGACCATATGAGTTTCTACCTTCCAAGTCTACCATCTAAATGACCTCCTGAGGTCCCACCTTCCAAGTCGATTATCTAGATGACCTCCTGGGATCCCAATTCTACCATCTAGATTATCTTCTGAGGTCTTACTTTCAAAGTCTACCATCTAGATTACTTTATGAGGTCCCACTTTCCATCTCTTTCATCAAAATGGCCTTATGCTTCTACCTTCCATCTCTTTCATCCAAATGACCTCCTGAGGTCCCACTTTACCATCTAAATGACCTCAGTTTCTACAGTCCAACTCCATCTAAATCACCTTTTGAGGTCCCACCTATGATCTAAATGTCCTCCTGAGGTCCTACCTTCCAGGTCTATCATCTAAATGACTTCCTGAGTTCCCACTAATCCATCTACCATCTAATGACCTTAGGTCCCACTTTCCAAGTCTACTATCTAAATGACCTGAGTTTCTACCATTCAAATCTGCCATCTATGTGACTTCCTGAAGTTTCAGCTTCCAACCCTACCAACTCAATTACCTCCTGAGATCCCACCTTCCAAGTCTACCATCTAAATGACATTATGAGGTCCCACTTTCTAAGTCTACCGTCTAAGTGAACTTATGAGGTCCCACCTTTGGACTCTACCATCTAAATGACCTTATGAGTTTCTGCTTTCCAACTCTACCACCTAGATGATCCCCCGAAATCCCACTTTCCAAATCTACTATCTAAATAACTTCCTGAGGTTCTGCCTTCGAAATATAGCATCTAAATGACCTTATGAGTTTCTACCTTTCAACTCCACCATCTAAATGATCTTCTGAGGTCCCACCTTCCAACCCTACCATCTAAATGACTTCCTCAGGTCCCAACTCTACCATCTAGATGACCTTCTGAGGCCCCACTTTCCAACTCTACCATCTAACCAACCTTCTGAGGTCCCATCTAAATGACTTCTTCAGGTCCCAACTCTACCATCTAGGTGAACTTCTGAGGTCCCAGTTTCCAACTCTACCATTTGACTGACTTTTTGAGATCCCACCTTCCAATTCTACCATCTAAATTACTTCCTCAGGTCCCAACTCTACCATCTAGATGACCTTCCAATGTCCCTCTTTCCAACTCTACCATCTGACTGACCTTCTGAGGTCCTACCTTCCAACCCTACCATCTAAATGACTTCCTCAGGTCCCAACTCTACCATCTAGATGAACTTCTGAGGTCCCACTTTCCAACTCTACCATCTAAATGACTTCCTTTGGTCTCTACCATCTAGATGAGCTTCTGAGGTCCCACTTTCCAACTCTACCATCTGACAGACTTTCTGAGATCCCACCTTCCAACTCTACCATCTAACTGATTTCCTCAGGTCCCAACTCAACCATCTAGATTACCTTCTGAGGTCCTACCTTCCAACCCTACCATCTAAATGACTTCCTCAGGTCCCAACTCTACCATCTAGATGAGCTTCTGAGGTCCCACTTTCCAACTCTACCATCTGACTGACTTTCTGAGATCTCACCTTCCAACTCTACCATCTAACTGACTTCCTCAGGTCCCAACTCAACAATCTAGATTACCTTCTGAGGTCCCACTTTCCAACTCTGTCATCTGACTGAGCTTCTGAGGTCCTACCTTCCAACCCTACCATCTAAATGACTTCCTCAGGTCCCAACTCTACCATCTAGATGAACTTCTGAGGTCCTACCTTCCAACCCTACTGTCTAAATGACTTTATAAGGTCCCACCTTCCAGTTGTACCATCTAAATGACCTCCTGAGGTCCCACCTTTCATTACTATCATCCTTCCCTTCTTGTGGGGCTATGGGGATGTTACTCTGGACCCCAAGGCAGTGAAAAATTTCCCTTGACTCCGAGCTTTGCTAACCCGTTGTTGTTGTGGTTGTTGTGATTGTTGTGATGATGATGATGATGATTTCTGCCCGCCCAGGGGAGTGCCAATGGCTGCACCTGGACCTCATCAAGGAGATGCGGCAGTTCTGCAAGTCCCTCTTCCCCGTCGTGGAGTACGCCTATTGCACCATCCCCACTTACCCCAGTGGGCAGATTGGCTTCATGCTCTGCAGCAAGAACCCGGTGAGGAGGAGGAGGGAGAAAGGGGTCTCTGCTCAGCTGGGTTTGCTGGGTGTGCGGTTGGAGCTCTCAATGGGTGTTTGGGGGACAAAGTAGGACCCCCATCTCTGGTATATATAACAATATCTGTCATTTGATTTTATAATTATTCCAGAATACGAACTTCCGGGAGCCGGTCCAAGAGCTGTCGCAAGAGCAAGTGGAAGAAATGACCCTCAAGTATTACAACTCTGACGTCCACCGGGCGGCCTTCGTTCTGCCGGAATTTGCACGAAAGGTCAGGCGAGCCTTTAACTTCCACTTTTATTGATTTATAATGCTCTAATATAATTATAATATAAACCTGTAACTGACAAATTTATATAAATGCATACATTATGAATAACAATTTATATATATATATATATATAATTTATATTTATTATTATTAATGTTATATACATTTATAAATACATTTATATCATTATATATATTTTTATTATTAAATTTACATACATGTCATATAAGTGTCGTAAATAAATAAATAAATATACGTTTATACATAAATTTGTATAATTTTATAGATATGGTTTATATTGATAATTAATCTATATTTATAGTTTATATTTATAATTAATACATTTATATAATGTTATTAATTATAAATATACATTTTATATATCTAATTATCTATATATATTTATTTTAAATAATATATATATATAATGTAATTATTTTTCCAATGAAAAATTTATCAGTTATAACTAAATAATTTATATATATATATATATATATATATATATATATATATATATATATATATTCATTATGTTTTACTGTTTTTATGATGTTTTATACTGTTTTTAACTAAGATATATATTTATGCTTTTGTTGTCAGCCGCCCTGAGTCCCTCTGTGGAAGGAAGTCGAGATAGGGCAGGATATAAATGTCCTAAATAAATAAATAAATAATATATTGTTATTATATTCATTTATATCCCCACTTTTCTCTCTTGACTGAGACCCAAAGCAGCTCGCAACATTAACAACATATTAAATTTAAAATAGAAGAATGCCTCAATTTATTCTGCCTCTCGGTCTTGAACGGGAGGCGTTTTCCTCTCCCTCGTTCTCAATAAATGATTTCCTTTTTCTTTTTATTGTTTTCCTTCCATCCTCTGTTTCTGCAGGCGCTGAGCACCATCTGAAAAAAACACCGGCGGGCCGCATTCCTTCCAATTTATGTATTTGTACAAATGGAACGAAAGACTTTGAGGTTTGGATCCTGCCGGGGTCGCCGAAACCGCCATCCATCCGGGCCAGGCTTTTCACCCATTTCTCAATCAACCGTTTTCCCAGATTGGAAACCGTTTCGACTCCCGGCGTTGGCTTTCCACCTTTTTAACTCTGTATTTATAACTGACAACATATCCCCCGAGTTTCCCTTTAGCCATTTCCTCCCTTTTGGGAAATTCTGGACTCTAATGGGACAGAAGGAACTGACCGACAAGTTGTTAGGTATGTCTTTGGCGCCTGTTGGAAGTCTTTCGCTCCTCCTTGATTCCTTTCTCCTTTCCCAGCCACTCATGGATCTCTTTCTTTCCCCTTCTTCCCACTTTTTTGGCCTTTGCTCTCCTCAAAAGAGGGATTCCTGTGCCTGCGGTTAATACCCTTGAGGTCATGGATTTCGATTTTCCGCGCAAAAAACAAAAAAGGTCAATTTTCCGCGCAATTTTCATTTCTCGATTCTCGTCTGCGGAGAATTGTACTTAGCTTTAAATACATAAGAAAAATACAATTTTTTTTGTTCTGTTACAGGGTGAGAGAGGGAAAAAAAGAGGAATGTATATTTGGAGTTTAGCGAGATGTATCCCCAATATGTATTTTGTAGTATGGGGTGCCCCGTTTATTCAGAGGGCGGATATTCCTTAAAAACACATCCAAGGAGGTCAAGTGTTTCCAGTGGTTTACATTCAGATCATAATTTTGTTGTAAATCCTATCGGGTTTGTTTCTAGAAGCGAGTTTTGCCTGTCCAAATCCAAAACATATCTGAATCCGTAATGGGAAATAATATGGACAGGGAAGATTTGTCAATACGTTTCTGCCCTATCCGTATTTAGCAATATGTTTGAGATTATTTCATATCCCGTTGGACTACAATCTCGAGCATCCCTGACCATCTTGCCTCAGGATTATGGGTGTTGGAGTCCAAGCACTCCACGGTTCGATTGCTTTACAGGTCAAGGAGTTTTGTTACAAGTCATAATTTCTTGGTCCATCCATCCTGTTAACACTGGAATTGGAGAAATACATGTCGACCTCAGCATCACAACAGTCTCTCGCCTGTCATTGTTGTCGTTTGTGTATTCCTTTCTCCGGCTCGCCAGGTTTCTGAGACTCAAAGCGGGGAAGGGAGAGCAGGCGTGCAAGGCGCATGGCAGAGTGGTGCGCGAGGGAGAGCATTCAAGGCTGGAGGGAGACGCATGCCAGCAAGTCCCTTCAAGGCATGGGGGTTCTGTGTGGGAAGTTTGGCCCAATTCTATCTGAGACCCAAGTGGGGAGGGGAGAGCAGGCGTACAATGCGCATGGCAGAGTGGGGCACATGTGCAGGCGAGGGAGTGTCAGAGGCTGGAGGGAGGCTCACACAAGCAAGCACCTTCAAGGCATGGGAGTTCTGTGTGGGAAGTTTGGCCCAATTCTATCTGAGACTCCAAGTGGGGAGGGGAGAGCAGGCGTACAATGCGCATGGCAGAGTGGTGTGCATGTGCAGGTGAGGGAGAGCATGCGAGGCTGGAGGAAAGCGCATGAAAGCAAGTCCCTTCATGGCATGGGAGTTCTGTATGAGAAGTTTGGCCCAATTCTGAGACTCCAAGGGGGAGGGGAGAGCAGGCGTACGATGCGCATGGCAGAGTGGTGTGCATGTGCAGACAAGGGAGAGCGTGCGAGGCTGGAGGGAGGCGCATGCCAGCAAGTCCCTTCAAGGCATGGGAATTCTGTGTGGGAAGTTTGGCCCAATTCTATCTGAGACTCCAAGCGGGGAGGGGAGAGCAGATGTGTGAGGCGCATGGCAGAGTGGTGTGCGTGTGCAGGTGAGGGAGAGTGTCCAAGGATGAAGGGAGGCTCACACAAGCAAGCTCCTTCAAGGCATGGGAGTTCTGTGTGGGAAGTTTGGCCCAATTGTATCATTGGTGGGGTTCAAGGGGCTCATTGATTGTAGGTGAACTCTAAATCCCAACAACTGCAACTCCCAAATGACAACATCAATCCCACTCATATTCAGATTTGGGCGTATTGGGTATTTGTGCCAAACTTGGTTCGGTGATTGAAAATACATCCTGCATATCAGATATTTACGTGATGATTCATAACGAACAAAACGACACTTGTGAAGTAGCAACAAAAACAATGTTATGGTTGTGTGTCACCACAACATGAAGAATTGTGTTAAGGGATTGCAGCATTAAGAAGGTTGAGAAACACTGCCAAACATATTTATGCTTCATATATGCAACTTTATACACACTTTTTGAGCGGGAACAATGTTTTGGCTGTGGCCAAACATTGGTAAGCAGAGGTGCCACTCTCTCAGCCCACCAGGTAAAAATTAGTAGCTATTTGGATTGTCGAAAAGGATATTTTATTTAGACCTGGTCTTTGCAGGGAAAAGCTCTGCATTAACTTATTTCAATTCCACATGCAGTAAGGATGCATTGCCACCAGGTGGCACTGTGGGATATAGTTTGAGTTCTAGGCAACAGACCAGTCCTTAAAGTGCAACACTGCCGCCTGGTGGCTACAGCTAGGATTGCAATGGTAAATACACTGCTATGTATAATTCAAGTTTTCTTCCAGACCATTCTCAAAAGGGTCAAGTCAGGTCCAAATTGAACTTCATGGATCAGGACCCAACGTCTTGCCACAGGCATCAAGTTACATTGTTGAGAGTCCAAGTTGGAGAAGGAAGAAAGTAGGCCTTCTTAGAGCTGGAGCAAGGAGAGAGTAGACCTTTTTTCTCAGAGCTGGAGAAGGGAGAAAGTAGAACTCAGAGCTGGAGAAAGGAGAGAGTCGGGCCTTTTCTCAGAGTTGGAGGAGGAGAGGGTAGGCTTTCTTCTCAGAGCTGGATAAGGGAGAAAGTAGGACTTATAGCTGGAGAAGTGAGAAAGTAGGCCCCTAGAGCTGCAGAAGGGAGAAAGTAGACCTCTTAAAGCTGGAGAAAGGCCTTCTCAGAGCTGGAGAAGGTGGAAAGTATGTCTTCTCATAGTTGAGATGGGAGAAAGTAGACCTCTCAGAGCTGGAGAAAGGCCTTCTCTGAGCTCCAGATGGAAGAAAGTAGGCTTCAGAGCTGCAGAAGRGAGAAAGTAGACTTCTTAGAGCTGGATAAAGTCCTTCTTGGAGCTGGAGAAGGGGGAGAGTAGGCCTTCTCAGAGTTGAGATGGGAGAAAGTAGACTTCTCAGAGCTGGAGAAAGGCCTTCTCTGAGCTCCAGATGGAAGAAAGTAGGCTTCAGAGCTGCAGAAGGGAGAAAATAGACTTCTTAGAGCTGGATAAAGGCCTTCTTGGAGCTGGAGAAGGGGGAGAGTAGGCCTTCTCAGAGTTGAGATGKGAGAAAGTAGACCTCTCAGAACTGRAGAAAGGCCTTCTCAGAGCTGGAGATGGAAGAAAGTAGGCTTCAGAGCTGCAGAAGGGAGAAAGTAGACCTCTTAGAGCTGGATAAAGGCCTTCTCAGAGCTGAAGATGGGGGAATGTAGGCCTTCTCAGAGTTGAGACAGGAGAGAGTAGACCTCTCAGAGCTGGAGAAAGGCCTTCTCAGAGCTGGAGATGGAAGAAAGTAGGCCTTCTCAGCACTGGAAAAGGGAGAAAGTAAGTAGGCCTTCTTCTCAGAACTGGAGAAAAGAGAAAGTATGCCTTCTCAGAGCTGGAGAAATGAGAGAGTAGGCCTTCTCAGAGCTGGAGAAGGGAGAAAGTAGGTCTTCTTTGCAGTGCTGTGGATTGGAGGAAGTAGGCAGGCAGCTGTCCCCACAATATTCAGGCAACGCCAGGTATATATGCCAGTAAATCAGTAAACTAAAGCAACACAAGGTTCTTGTTTTGGCTCAAACGATGCTTCTTGCAAGTCACAGAGGGATGCATGAGAGCTGGTGGCGCAGTCCATGATGCTCCTGTGGTGGTTTGCAATCCCATCATCCAAAGGAGAAGAAGACCTCCGTGGGCCTCAGCAATCTGTCCAACCGTCCTGGAAGAACTTCTTGCAAATCAACGGTGTTGGCTTCGTCGAGGCTTTCCTTGAGGCCTCCTTAGGGTTGGACGGCGGGTCTTCCACGGACTTCTCCCCTTGCTCCTGTGAGTGTTGGAGGAGAAGCAAAGCCATTGTTGATAGACGCCCATCTTTCTCTGGGTTACATTACAACACAGCTATGGCAATATCTATCATTCTTCTTTTGCTACCACAGACTCCCGGGATGCATAGTTTGGTGTTTGTTACGGCACTCCGGTGCAGCGGTTGTCCCATATTAGTCTCCAAGAGGAATCATAAAACCTTAGATTTGGGAAAGAGGTCTACTTGGGACATCAATGCAGGAATGCCCAACTCAAGCCTTCCCCAAAGATGCCCATCCAACCTCTGTTGGAAGGCCTCCAGAGAAGGAGAACCCACCATTTCTGGGATGACCTGCTCTTCTTAATGTTTGGGTGGGATCTTATTAAGGTGGGATTGGTGGAGCTACATTCCCAAGACATGTGGTAGCATGAGGAGTTACAATCACTCGGTGCCGAGAGAGGTCGAAACAGTACGACATCTCCAGTCAAGTGAGGCAATGTCATATCCGGAGTGTCAACATAGAGATAAGCATGCACAGCAAAGACATAAAAGGCCCAACCATGTTGGGTTGGACTGTCAAGGTCGGACTGCTTTGAGTCCCCTTCGGGAGAGAGAAAGTGGGGTGTAAATAAATATTTTCGAAAACTTAATGATAAAAGGTGACAGTTTCCTCGTGATAAATGGAAAGAAAGAAAGAAAATAGCCTTAACTGTTGGTCCCCGTGAAAACGTCATTGTAATTCATCCAATAACTTCACAGTGGTCTTCGAATTGGTGGATTTTTCAGCCTTTGTGGAGTCATTGTATATGCATTTGTTATAGCTTTCCTGCCACCTTGTGTCCAGAATGGTGAATTGTATGGTTTGATTTATCTTTAAAAAAATATTAAAAACTATAATAATAATAATAATAATAATAATAATAATAATAATAAAATATAATAATAATTATTATAATTATAATTATTATAATAATAGTATTAGTAGTAGTGCTGAATGGATTGAGAAGATTAGAGCCAAGTATCATAGTTAGAAATGAAAATAGGAATGAAAAATTATAGTTAAAAACTATAATAATAATAATAATACAAATATAATAATAATACAAATATAATAATAATAATAATAGTAATAATAATAGTTTTAGTAGTAGTGCTGAATGGATTGGGAAGATAAGAGTCAAGTACCATAGATATCTCTATGAAAATAGGAATGAAAAACTATAGTACATTCTAAGCCAAACCCCTGGTGAGGCACTCCGGATTTTAGTCCGAACTTTAGTATAATAAGAGTAGTAGCGCTGAATGGATTGAGAAGATTAGAGCCAAGTACCATAGATCATTCTATGAAAATAGGAACGAAAAACTATAGTAGACTCTAAGCCAAACCCCTGGTGAGACAGTTAAATCCGGATTTTAGTCCGAACTTTAGTATAGCAATAGTAGCAGTGCTGAATGGATTGAGTAGATTAGAGCCAAGTACCATAGGTATCTCTATGAAAATAGGAATGAAAAACTATAGTAGATTCTAAGCCAAACCCCTGGTGAGGCGGATAAATCCACTCCGGATTTTAGTCCGAATTTTAGTATAATAATAGTAGTAGTGCTGAATGGATTGAGTAGATTAGAGCCAAGTACCATAGGTATCTCTATGAAAATAGGAATGAAAAACTATAGTAGATTCTAAGCCAAACCCCTAATGAGGCAGTTAAATCCACTCCGGATTTTAGTCCGAACTTTTGTATAACGATACTAGTAGTGGTGAATGGATTGAGAAGATTAGAGCCAAGTACCATACATAGCTCTTTCAAAATAGGAGTTAAAAACTATAGTAGATTCTAGTGAGGCAGAGAAATCCACTCCGGATTTTAGTCCGAACTTTAGTATAATAATAATAATAATAATAGTAGTAGTAGTAGTAGTAGTATTAGTAGTGCTGAATGGATTGAGAAGAGTCAAGTACCATAGATATCTCTATGTTAAATCTACTCCGGATTTTAGTCCGAACTTTAGTATAAT